TGTGTGTGTGTGTGTGTGTGTGTGTGTGTGTGTGTGTGTACATGAGAAACAGCTGCTTTTCATTACTGCCAGAGAAGCTTCAACTTACACAACCAGCTGACCAAAAAAAAAAAAAAAAAAAAAAAAAAAAAAAAACGTAGGGTGGGGACAAGGCAGGATACTTCTTTTAAAACTGTGGCCTCTGGGGTCATTTTGACCCAAAGGCAGCAATTCAATTCAAATTCAAAAATACTTTATTGATCCCAGAGGGAAATTAGGTAAGGAGTGTTAAAACAGAAAGTTCACTTCATTCATACATGATTCATGCATCTTCAGCTTTGCTGTTTGTACTTTCTGTTTTAAGGTTTGAAATGGCACAGAAATGTGATTAATTAGTGAGCAACAGTTCTGAGTTCTCTATAAATTAAGAGTCTCTATTGTGTGAACAATGCAGCTATGTGAGGCATGAATCTGTGTTTGACAATTAAAGAACAAAGTACAACTTGTTCAAACAAAGCAGGGCATAAAAAATGTAGAATTACAAGAAGAGTTATAAGCTTTTTTGTTAGCCAATCAGGAAATGGATGGTAAGAAGAGGAGCAGTGATTTCAAAAGTAGTTGTCTATAATAGTTGAGAGAATTCGGTTAAGTCGTTTTGATTACAACAATAACAGCACCTTGGGTTTTAATTATTAATTTTTCTTCTGGCCCAAAACATTGAAGATCTTATGGGCTGAAGATTACTTACATGAGCCACTCTGATGCCCGTACAGAAGCAGATTTTTCCTTTGGGCTGGACAGCGTGGAGTTTGGACAGGATGCGACCGGTGTCTGGTGTCAGCGTGGTCAGGACCTCACAATTGCTACATCAGAACAGGATAAAAAAAAAAACACAGTTTATCATCATCAGCATGACAAAACTGACCAAMAGGGGCCAGATCATGATAAAACTGCATAAATGGACACATACATGACACTATCAGTAAATTGTCAGATAATGAAAATCCAATGCACAAATTCACAAACGTCATTACATCGTTATATTGGTAAATTGGAGAGAGAAATGCTTACTTTGCCATAGTGATGAGTCCCACATTGTTCTCTGGATTGCTGCGGGTTTTGGAGTGACAAACTATGTTGACAGCATCTTGCTGAGCCTGTAGCCTTGTGGGCAGAAAGTCTCCATTTCTCATGTACTCGCTGTTGTCCACACTGAGGGAAAGATATCAGTTAGATAACACTTTAGGATCAGTGTGGTAACCAACTAGCTAACGCAAGTCACCCAGAAAGTGAGTTTTCTTCAGCGCCGATAAACCTCGAGTAGAAGCTAATGTGACAAAAAGTCAAAACAAACGGTCGGCATGCTACTGTTAGCAGCAGCTAGATACAGCTAAACTAAACTAGTATTTGAGTTGTCAGGGGATAATTTAAATACAAAACATTACACCAGAAGCACAAACGTTAATACACAATATTGGATGTGCTTAAATCAAAGCATACATTTATTTAAAACCGAAAATATAACCGAATTAGCGCTAACAATGACTCAGCTAGCCGTCACCGGTCAACTAAGCCGAAGAGGCCCATTAATTTCCCTAATTTTCCGATTTATACAATAATTAATCGAGTATTTAACTTTAAACTCTTCATCTATTACTGGTTTGGAAACGGTTGAGAAATAGTTTCTTTTAAGGTTCCTACCAGACCATAGTACTTTCCAGACCCATTTTGGAAACTTCTTGTTGCTCTCGGTCGCAGTCTGACAAGCGCGCATCCTATTGGTTAAAGACTGAACAAGCAGAAACGTGATTGGTCAGAAAGTGTCTGCTTTGATTTGGCGTTGGAAAGCATTCACAAGTAAGTAAGTAAGTAAGTAAGTAAGTAAGTAAGTAAGTAAGTAAGTAAGTAAACAAATAAATAAAAAGATGCACAGTTAACATGATCCAATCCTAATGTTACATATATCAAAAAACAAATTGGCTACTAGCAGTGTTTACTCTGCAGAAAGTGACAGAACAAAAACACTTAAAACAATTTGCCTTCAACCTTCAGAAGAGAACTTATTGTAGGACTGGTCATTCTCTGAATGAAAATTCACAGCTTTGTAAAACATAAACTTTTATTTACCCCAAAAAATAAACCAGTGAAACTGTTTTGAGGCAGTAAGTTTTATTTAGAGCTCATATTTTACAAAGGCACAAAAAAGCAGATTAGACTGCTATTAAATTATTTTAAATCACATAAACAAGAACTTCTGCACACAGACAGATGAAATAACAAAAAAGATACCAACATCAAAAAGTAACTCTGAAGTCATTTCAGGTTTGGGCCACACATCTTTAGTAAAAGATGTTTATTTTGATGTAAATACATTTGTAGAGTTCTGAGTAATGCTATGAACAACAACAAAAATAACCTTAGTGGAGGTAATTAGAGTAAAAACAAACTGATTGTGCCAGCTTGCAACATGCTCTTTGGTATTTTTAACAATTAGTAAAAACACCCAACAAAAAGAAAAAAAAACTTCCTCTTTAAAGGTTTGATCAGTGGCTTTAAATACTTGAGAAGCACTTTAGTTTGAGCAAACGTGAGGAAAAAAAGAAGAAAGTACAAGATCAGGACCAAACAACACTTATAAACTCAGTAGTCTTGTTTCATGAAATAGGCCCCATTTAGTTTTTGTGCTTCATCGCCACCTATCAGTCTCTCTATTCACATGTACTCAAGCTACCATACGAGTATAAAACACATAGAAATCCTCTTAAAATATTGTTTTGCTCTTGTTAGGATTCACAGCCCCTATAGTAGTATAAGTTCATTAGAAAATGAGTTTAAATAAAATGCCTAAGCTGAGGGTCACGTCTTTTTCCAGCATTTTTTTACATTAACAGTAAGTATTTAAAAATATCTTTACAGCATTTTAACACGAATGAGTACAGTATTTTTTTTTCAACAAAAGACCCTATTTTTAAAACATGTGCTCCCAAAACAACTAATATAATTTGTGGTAAAGCATCTAAACAAACAAAACAGGTGGGTGTAAACAGATTTGACCCCTTTAGGGGTATAAACTGTAAATAAAAGATGGATGTCTTCTTGCTTTAGGAGTAAAAACTGAGTGGAAGAACAAACCGCAGTACCACCCATAACCACCAGGGGTCATTCACAAAAAAGATATTTAAAAATAATATAATCTATTTTCTGAAACATTTTTCCCAAGTCCTTTTGGCACCAATAGTTAAATTCACTCTCTTTTTCAGCATGTTTAAATACATTTTAATTATTACACCTCAAAAATACAGTTTTATCCAATCAGTTTTTTAATCACTGACGTTTCATCTTTTGGTTTTATCTTTATCTCTTCTGGTTCCTAAAACATCAAGATGATGTGATGTCAAATCTGATGCTGCAGACTGACTACACCAGATGATGTCATCACTCTAAACACATCTTTTTATAAGCAGTCTGATTGAGAGATTCAGGAATATGGTAAATACAAAACCTGTAAAAGGAAAGAATACTTGAACGACTTTTCTGCACACAAGAAACACTCAGCCCTCATGAACGTTGGCATTAATGAGAAAATCAGGACCAAAACAACAATAACAACTGGTTGTTAATACAGGAACGTTTATATAAAGGAATGATAATGTGCAACACCCACCACATTAATGTCCCCACAAGTAATAAAGTCAAAACACAATTGTTTATCAAAGTGCAAAGAACAGGAACAAATATAACTATACCGCTTTGTCTCAGTGATACACTACGAGGCTTTTATTTTGAAGGTGGATGTATTCTTTCAACCTTGTTTAGAACAAACTCTGTTCTTTTTGGTTCATTCGAGTCCTGTTCATCTTTCCACATTTACACCTGGAAGCAAAAAAAATCCTTGTTATAAAAGTACAACATTTAAGTAAAGAACAATCACCGCTGAGACGCCTGTAATGTACTTACAAATGACTGGCTCTCGTTACAACCTGTATCATCGAGTGAGGTTGAATCCTCAGTACCAATACTTGCTTCAAGGGAAAACTGAGCTCTGAAAAACAAAGACAAAATAGAAATATGAGGCATTGCGATTCTTGCATGCTTTACCAGAAATAATTAAACTTTTTATTGCAAGATTTTAGAGATTTGTCTTCTAATGCTGACTGGAGTGGACAGAGAAATGTCAACAATTCAAGGAGTCAACTTTTTTTTGTTTACACCTGGTAGCGAGACACCAGGGCCCTGTTTCAGAAAGCAGGCTTAACAAACCCTGAGTTAAGGCAGATACTCTRATGGCTCGTTCACACCGAGAGCGTTTTGAGCGGCCAAAAAGCGCAAAACGGCTCTCACTGGACGCTCTGAAGAACGCACTGGTGTTCAGACCAGGACAAGCAGCGGCAGCAGCGAGGTGGGGGAGGAGCATGTCCTCGGCGGGTGAAATAAAGATAAAGTAAAAGAAAATGGCTTTGATTTTTTTACTAAAAAGCAAGCGAACGTTGCGCACAGCAGATAATTAACTCACC